GCAGTCATATTAGTATTGTTTTCCACTTTACAGATGAAGAAACTAAAGCTTAGAGAAGTAAAATAACTCTAAAAACCTCACTTCACTTAGGTATAAATCCAGGTGGTCTAATCCAGAGCCCACCTACTATTCTTAGTATCTGTGTGAACCTAAAACATAATATTGTTCATCAAAGGTATGTCTTATTTTATGATAGCTTTATTTTAAATATACAATAGCAAAATAATAACTATTTTGGAGGGAGTGCTAATTTTTTGTTTTCTAGATCTCCAGTGCAGCAAAACATTTTAAATTAAAAAAAAAATAGGGAATACCTCGAATACCCCTAAATCATTATTCTTCTTCTAAACCTTGATTCTGAGAATCAGTCATTACATTTAAGTTCATGTAATTTTTTCCAAACGTCTATGTATTCAGCAATTTGAACCTCTGTAGCGTGTGATACTGAATGAAATAAAATTGCATATATTGTGCAGTGGAAGTGACAAACATTTATTTTCCTTTACACTTGTTATGAATGTCTGTGTCTTTTTATAGTAATTTTTCCTGTTTGAAGGAAAACACTTCAGACCATTAATTTTACTGTCACTAATAGACTTCAGCAATTATGAAATGGTAAACATGAGGTATGTTCCTCAGATTTGGGATTAACAAAATGTTATAGCTGAAGGAGATTTTAGAGACCATCTAGTCAACTTTCCATTTTACAAATACGGATACTAAACTCCCACTGGTAAAATGCAAAACTGAACTTCATCCAGTGTTCTTTTCCCGCACAGGAGTAACAGAACCAAGACTGGTCAGTTTCTAGTCTTTGCTATCGTAGATTTTAGGACTACAGTAAGAATATATTCAGTCAACATTTTAACATGAAAAAAAAGGACAAAGAAATAAAGAGCTGGTGATTAGGAAAATATATATAAATATATATATATATATTTTAAAAGGTAAATCCAGGATAAAATAATTTTTACAATAGATTATTGTAAAAAAATTATTTCTACAACAAAAAAATAAAATAATATATACCTAAATCATACACAGATTTCCAAGAGATCATCTGCAGGGGAAATACCACCATTTCCTACAGAGGTGTTAAACAGAGCTTTTGTTTATCTTGAAAAAGTGTTCAATTTTCAAATAAGTTTGGATGCATTAAACTAAATAAAGGTTAAGAAATTCCACAATTTCTCTCTTTTTTTTTTTTTTTTTTTTTTTTTTTTGTGAGACAGAGTCTCACTCTGTTGCCAGGCTGCAGTGTACTGGCCCGATCTTGGCTCACTGTAGCCTCTGCCTCCTGGGTTCAAGCCATTCTCCTGCCTTGGACTCCCAAGTAGCTGGGATTACAAGCATGCACTACCATGCCTGGCTAATTTTTGTGAGGTTTTTTTTTTTTTTGGTAGAGACAGGGTTTCACCAAGTTGGCCAGGCTGGTCTTGAACTCCTGATCTCAGGTGATCCGCCCACCTCGGTCTCCCAAAGTGCTAGGATTGCAAATATGAGCCACCGCACCCAGCCAGGTTCCACCATTATTACTGACATCTTTAATATGCCTCTATATACTGTCAATCTCTAAAAGGAGGGATACATTATGTAGCACTTTCCATATTTATTTGATCATGTAAAAGCATTTTCATATAATACATACTCACTCTAACATCTCCCAGACAAGTGTTGGTAGAACAAAATTTAGGAAACATTGGGAGGCACCATTTGTAGAAAAAAGACCCATAGGTGATCATAAATTCAAAATAAAGCAACATAAAAGGCTCTTTAAAAAGTGGGTAAAAATCTTTCAATTATGTGTTTATTACTATTCTAAAACATCCTTAGAGAACCATTCTTTATATAGAGAGTATGAAAAAGTGGAAGTCAATCATTGTGAGTTCTCCTGATATAAATTAACCACCCTTGACATCACAGGGACCTGGGTTTAAGCTGCTGATGGTCGCACCCTAACTTATTCCAATTCTAATTTAAAACTATCTGTCAGAGGAGCATTTTCATGGCAGAAGCAGGAGAAAGAGGAAAGAGTGACTGATATAATGAACTACATTCTTAGGGAAAAAAGAATAAAGCAAAAAGGCATCAAGGCTTCAGGGAACCTCTAAAAAAGAAGTTGTCTGCTCAATACACTTTTCTCCTTTTAGTGACAGAAACTCCTCTCCTTTAACGACTTCCTTTTTTCCCTCTGCTGTGGTCTGAATATATGTCCCTCACCAAAATTCACATGTTAAAACCTTACCCCACACCCCATCTACTTTCAGAAGTAGAGCCTCGGAGGGGATTATGTCACGAGGGTTCCACCCTCATGAATGGGATTCGTACTGTTAGAAAAGAGGCTTCAGGGAGCCTTCTTGCCCTTACAACATATATGGACAAAGCAAGAAAGCCACATCTAAGGCATTATCTCTGAGGAACAAGCCCTCACCAGACCAGATCTGCTAGTGCCTTGATCTTTGACTTCCCAGCCTCCAGAACTGTAAGAAACAAATTTCTGTTGTTTATGGATTACCCAGTCTAAGGTATTTTGTTATAGCAGCCTAGACTAAGACACCCTCTCTATGTGATTCTGGTGAGGTTACCTATTTAGTATCCCTACTCCCAAGGACTTGTGATACAGACCTGGCCAATCAGTCTTCAACCTTCTAGTTACAATGATGAGCTCCAAAATTGACATGTGAGTCACGCCAGGTAAAGGAGCATCTTGGAAGTTTATATACAAATGACATGAGAAAAAAAAAATATTTCCTCTACCATTTAACCCAGCAGTTCGATTACTGTGTATATACCCAGAGGAATAGAAATCATTCTACCATAAAGACACATATACATGAATGGTCACTGCAGCGCTATTCACTATAGCAAAGACATGGAGTCAACCTAAATGCCCATCAGTGGCAAACTGGATAAAGAAAATGTGGTATGTATACATCCTGGAATACTATGCAGCCATAAAAAAGAATGAGATCATGTCTTTTGTGGGAACATGGATGGAGCTGGAGGCCATTATCTTCAGCAAACTAATGCAGGAATAGAAAACCAAATACCAGATGTTCTCACTTATAAGTAGAAGTTAAAAGAACTCATGGGCACAAAGAAGGGAATAATAGACACTACACTGGGGCCTACTTGAGGGTAGAGGGTGGGAGGAGAGATAAGCAGGAAAAATAACTATTGTGTACCAGGCTTAGTACCTGGGTGATGAAATAATCTGTCCAACAAATCCCTTTGACGCAAGTTTACCTATATAACAAACCTGCATATGTACCCTTGAGCCTAAAACAAAAATAAAAAAAGGAAGTATTTCCTCTGGGCTCACTAGTTGGGAATGGCAAAACATGAAACGCTTTATTACTATAACTTCTCAATCTATTCCTCCATTATAACTCCACAATTCTGACTATAAGAAGAAAGTCAGCCTGCAACATACTCAGAAAACAGAGCACTAAAATGGAGAGTAAGAGTCCATGATTACATTGCTTATAGCATAACCTACAATGCAATAAGAGAGGCCCATTAAAGTAAAAGATGTATATAAACATCTTTGAAGATCTCTATGAAATAATTTTGACATGCCAAGAAGGAGTGTAATGTAGTAGGTAAGAGCTTACACTCTATGGACAGACTACATGGATTTAACTTGTAGCCTGTTCGTTTACTGCAATAACTTGAGCAAGTTACTTATCTTTCTCTGCGACAATTTCCTCAACTGTAAAATGGTGATAATACTAACATATTATTATGAGGATTAAATGAATTAATAGGCTCTGTAACAGGCTCTAAAAGGTATTTTACACTTCATAGGCTCTCAATAAAGTTAACTACCATTATTTTTACTAATATGCAAAGATGTCTAAAATATGCTACAGAGTTAGGGAGTGAAAGAAGTGCAAAATACTATGTATGAGTAAGAATCACAATCACAAATGCCTACCAAGGTCAGGCAGCCAACATATATTAAACAGAAACTGGACAGTAACTCTAACCAACTATTATCATAGGAGAAACATGTTGTGTGTTGCTGAATCTTAAGAGGCAAAAAGGCTGGGCACGGTGGCTCACACTTGTAATCCCAGCACTTTGGGAGAAGGCGGAGGCAGGCAGATCACAAGTTCAGGAGTTCGAGACGAGCCTGACTAACATGGAGAAATCCTGTCTCTACTAAAAACACAAAAAAATTAGCTGGGCATGGTGGTGCATGCCTATAATCCCAGCTATTCGGGAGGCTGAGGCAAGAGAACCACATGAACCCAGGAAGCAGAGGTTGCAGTGAGCCAAGATCACACCATTGCACTCCAGCCTGGCAAGAAGAGCAAAACTCTGTCTCAAAAAAAAAAAAAAATTCAAAAAAATAGGGATTTTATATGAAATATCTTTTTTTAAGCATTGGAAACAAATACTTTTTCTAAAATACAGTAGGGACTAATGAAACGTGTAGTAGTCAATTATGGCCAGTGGTCCATCAATTTGCAAATTCTGATGTATGATCCACATACACATATTCAAATATATCAAATATCTGATTGTATACAAAAGAATAAACAAAAAGATTTTTTTTTTTTTTTTTGAGACAGAGTTTCGCTCTTGTTACCCAGGCTGGAGTGCAATGGTGCGATCTCGGCTCACCGCAACCTCCGCCTTCTGGGTTAAGGCAATTCTCCTGCCTCAGCCTCCTGAGTAGCTGGGATTACAGGCACATGCCACCATGCCCAGCCAATTTTTTGTATTTTGAGTAGAGACGGGGTTTCACCATGTTGACCAGGATGGTCTCGATCTCTTAACCTCGTGATCCACCCGCCTCAGCCTCCCAAAGTGCTGGATTACAGGCTTGAGCCACCGCGCCCAGCCCACAAAAAAGATTTTTTTTAGTGCTTAACACTAGAGAGAAACTAGAGAAGTAATGTAATGAGGCTTAATTTCACATTTTACCTTTCTGTATTATTACATAATAACACACAAATATACTTTAATAAATTTTACTAATTAAAAGAATGACATAAGAATTTAGGAGCTTTCTCACTGGCAAATTTTTTAAATTTTCTTTTACATTTTATGTTGACATACAATAATGTACATATTTATGAGGCACATAGTGATGTTTTAATACATAAAATGTATAGTGATCAGAGCCGAATAATTAATATATCTATCATCTTGAACATTTATCATTTCTTGGTGTTGGGAACATTCAATATCCTGCTTCTAGCTATTTGAAACTATATATTACTGTCAACTACAGTCACCCCTACAGTGCTACAGAAGACTAGAATTTATTTATCCAGTCTAGCTGTAATTTTGCATCCTTCAACAAATCTTTCCCGATACCCGCTTCCCTTGAATCTTCCCAGCCTCTAGTATCCTTTGTTCTACTTTACTTTTGTGAAACCAACTTTTTTTTAAGCTTCCACATAAGAGGACATGCAGTGTTTTAACTTCCCATTCCTGGCTTATTTCACTTAATATAATGTCCTTCAGTTCCATCCAGGTTGCCATGAATGACAGGATTTCATTCTTTATGGCTGAATAGTATTCCATTATGTATATATACCACATTTTCTTTGTCCATTTATCTTCTGTTGGACACCTAGATTGAATCTATATCTTGGCTATCATAAATAGTGCTGCTATAATAAATATGGTACAGATGTCTCTTCCGTATACTGATTTCCTTTTCTTTGGGTAAATGCCCAGTGGTGAAATTGCTGGATCATATGATAGTTCTATTTGCAGTCCTTTAAAGAACCTCAATATCATTCTCCATAGTGGCTGTTCTTGTTTACATTCCTTTCAACAGTATATAAGAGGTCCCTTTTCCCTACATCCTTGGCAGCATTTGTTGTTCTTTGCCTTTTTGATAATAGTGATCCTAACTGGGGTGAGATAATACCTTACTGTGGTTTCGATTTTCATTTTCCTGATGATTAGTGATGCTGAACATTATTTAATATATTTTTTGCCATTTGTGTATCTTTTGAGAAATGTCCCATTTTTTTAATCACATTGAGTTTTCTGCAGTTTTGTTTGTTTGCTGTTGAGATATTTGACTTCCTTGTATATCCTAGGTATTTTTTTTTTTTTGAGAGGATGTTTGATGTTTATTTTCACCTTGCGCTCAGGACTGAGCTAAAGTACTAAGACACTGAATGATGTCACTCAGGGAATACGTCACGAGACTATAGTACTGAGACGCACAAGTGCTGGTGGCAATAATTCACACAGAAGGAACCAGCCAGACAATAAAACAAAAATTGCAGAACACCCCAAGTCATTAAATCTGACACCCTTAGGATAGGCAAATTTGATTGCTGTGTTAAAAACCCTAGAGGTCAGTTAAGGTGGGCATTTGGGAGGTTTTCTAAGATTATCCTGACATACTGTTCACCCTATACATCTAATTGCCAGCACTATGTATTTAATTTCATGAAGAGTCAAGTCCTCAATCAAGGAAAGGCTATCCCTTTGACCAGATCGCCAGCACTGTTGAAGCTTAAGCTTTGTTACAGAAAAAGCCTGGGCACAGTGGCTCAACAACAGTTTGGGAGGCTGAGGCAGGAGGATCAGTTGAGGTCAGGAATTTGAGACCAGCCTCACCAACAAGATGAAACCCCATCTCTGCTAAAAACACAAATATCAGCTGGGCATAGTGGTGCGTGCCTATATTCCCAGCTACTCAGGAGGCTGAGAAAAAGAGAATCACTTGAACCCGGAGGCAGAGGCTGCAGTGAGCCAAGATAGTGCCACTGCACTCCAGCCTGAGTGACAGAGATTATCTCAAAAAAAAAAAAGCTATTAACATTTCTCAATTTGTCACACTAGTCACTCTTAAGAACACCTCTAAATGCATAAACTCATTGAACACCAGTCCAACCTTCCAGCTCCTTGCTTTTCCTGCCTCTGCCTACTTTCAAGAGATGGGGCCTCACTCTGACACCTAGGCTGGAGTGCAGTGGCATGATAATAGCTCACCACAGGCTTAACTCTGGGCCCAAGCAATCCTCTCACATCAGCTAGGACTACGGGCATGCACCACCAGGACAAGCTAATTATTTTTTGTAGAGAGAGGTGTCACTATATTGCCCAGGCTGATCTTGACTCCTGCCCTTAAGTGATCTTCTGTCTCAGGTAATACATTACAGGCCGTGAGACACCACGCCCAGCTGCTGCCTACATTTTCAATATTCCACTCAACAAACATTGAGACTTCCTGGGTCTGGAAAAGTAAAAAAAAAAACCTAAGCACTATGTAAAATTAAGCAAAAAAATGATGTTTCAGAAGTAGCCTATTACTGCTTAAAATAAAGCCTACATCAACACCCTAACTCAAACAAGGACAGACAATTGTTATTTAGTCTTTATTTCATAATCATAAACTTAACTCATCTCTGCAATCCAGCTAGGCATGGAAGGGAACAAGGAAAACATGGAGCCCAAAGGGAACTGCAGTGAGAGCACAGATTTTAGGATACTGCGAGCACATGGGGTGGAGGGTGCTCTCCTGAGCTACAGAAGGAATGGTCTGGTGGTTAAGATAAAACACAAGTCAAACTTATTAAAGTTGTCCACAGTCAGCAATGGTGATCTTCTTGCTGGTCTTGCCATTCCTGGACCCAAAGCGCTCCATGGCCTCCACAATATTCAAGCCTTCTTTCACCTTGCCAAAGACTACATGCTTGCCATCCTTCCACTCAGTCTTGACAGTGCAGATGAAAAACTGGGAACCATTTGTGTTGAGTCCAGCATTTGCCATGGACAAGATGCCAGGACCTGTATGCTTTAGGATGAAGTTCTCATCATCAAATTTCTCCCCGTAGACGGTCTTGCCACCAGTACCATTATGGCATGTGAAGTCACCACCCTGACACATAAACCCTGGAATAATTCTGTGAAAGTAAGAACCCTTATAACCAAATCCTTTCTCTCCAGTGCTCAGAGCACGAAAGTTTTCTGCTGTCTTTGGAACCTTGTCTGCAAACAGCTCGAAGGAGACGTGGCCCAAGGGCTCGCCGTCAACGGCAATGTCGAAGAACACGGTGGGGTTGACCATGGCTGATACTACGAGGCTCCAGGCAGCGGCGGTGTCTGCAAAGCACTATCCTAGGTATTAATCCTCCGTCAGATGAACAGTTTACAAATATTTTCTCCCATTCTATCGGCTACCTTTCATTCTGTCAATTAGTTCCTTTGCTGTGCATAAGCTTTTTAGTTTGCTATAATCTACTTGTTTATTTTTGCTTTCATTACCTGTACTTTTGAGGTCTTATTTATAAAATCTTTTCCCAGACCAATGTCCTGAAACATTTCCCTATGTTTTCTTCTAGCAGTTCTATAGTTTCCTGTCTTACATGCAGGTCTTTGATTCATTTTAATTTTTGTACAGAATAAGAGGTGAGGCTCCAGTTTCATTCTTCTGCATATGGATATCCTTTTTCCCAGAAACATTTCTTGAAGATACTGCCCTTTCCTCAGCAAGTGTTCCTGGTACCTTTGTCAAAACTCAGTTGGCTGTAGATACGAAGATTAATTTCTGGGTTCTCTATTCTGTTCCTTTGGTCTATATGTCTGTTTTTACACCAGTATCATGCTGTTCTGGTTACTATCACTTTGTAGCATATTTTAAAGTCTGATAGTATAATGTCTCCAGCTTTGTTCTTTTTGTTCAGGATTGCTTTGGCTATTCCAGGTCTTTTACAGTTCCATACAAATTTTAACTTTTTTTTTCTACTTCTGTGAAGAATGTCATTGGTATGGAATGTCACTGATAGTACTACACTGAATCTGTAGATTGCTTTGGGTAGTACCTACTTTCAGTTTAATTCAAACTTAACTTCTACAATGTGGATATTAATTTTATGAAAACATAATTTTTAAAGTTTGCACTATAATCAAAATGTCCTGTACTCACTCTTAGGTGAAAGTAAAGAAGGGAGCACCACTGTGTAAATGTTTATCTTTTTACATCTGAAAGCAGTGTTTTGTTTTTCAAGACAGAGTCTCGCTCTGTCATCCAGGCTGGCGTGCAATGGCACAATCTTGGCTCACTATAACCTGGCGCAATCTTGGCTCACTATAACCTCTACCTCCTGGGCTCAAGCAATTCTCCTGCCTCAGCCTCCCAAGTAGCTGGGATTACAGGCACGCACCACCACGCCCAGCCAATTTTTGTATTTTTAGTAGAGACAGGGTTTCACCATATTGCCCAGGCTGGTCTCAAACTCCTGACCTCAGGTGATCCACCCATCTCGGCTTCCCAAAGTGCTGAGATTACAGGCATCAGCCTCTGCACCCAACCAAAAGTAGTATTTTTACTCTATTCAGTTTCATATGTATAAGATACCCAACAGTTCTTAACCGTGAATTAGACTTTAAAGATTGTTAATTTCAAGTGCACTTTAATGTGTTTTTTAAAAGAACAATAAATAATTAAAGGAAACATGTCATTTTCACTTAGCATTAAGATTGCACTTAATCTCTTTCACTCATAAGTTTCTGCACTTTTATTAACATTTGCAGCATCATGCAGACACATTTAGCCATGATACTAAAATCACGAAGTACTATACAAAGAAATAAAGCTATTTATTATAGTAATACCTACTCATTTTCTGATACCCTGAACACAAAGTGAAAATACTTGCTTTTAGACTCTCACTTCAATTCTAACTGGATGTAATATCACAAATAATTCTTAGCAAGTTTATGTGGTTCCCAAGGATATAGATTAGAAACCAGAAGAGGAAAGGCAAGTGGGTAAAACCTGGAAAGCAAAAACGTTATGAAAATATACTATCACTTCACAGTAACAGATATTCAGAAGAGAATGTAGAAATATAATTGCCGGCCAGGCATGGTGGCTCACTCCTGTAATCCCAGCACTTTGGGAGGCTGAGGCAGATGGATTACTTGAGGTCAGGAATTCAAGATCAGCTTGGCCAACATGGTAAAACCCCATCTCTACTAAAAATACAAAAATGAGCCAGGCACACCTGTGGTCCCAGCTACTCGGGAGGCTGAGGTTGAACCTGGGAGGTGGAGGTTGCAGTGAGACAAGATCACGCCACTACATTCCAGCCTGCGTGAGAGTAAATGAGACTCCATCTCAGAAAAAAAAAAACAAAAACCAAAAACTATAATTGCAAAGCATAGTCATATTTGTGCTTCAATTCTGCCACTGCCACTGTCACTGATGTAGTCTTTAGAAAGTTACTTAACCTCTCTACTCCTCAGTCAATATAAGAGGAGTAAGACAGTACTTAATAAAAATTGTAAAGATTAAATAATATATCCAAAGTGCTTAGCATAAATAAAACATATAATTGCCTAATAAATGTTAGCTAAAATTATTTAAACCTGATTAAACAAAAAAAAATATGTTTAATATCTCCTATCTTAGAAAGCAGGAAATATGTTGCAGTTTAAAAATTTATATCAATGGGCTGGGCTCGGTAGCTCATGCCTGTATTCCTAGCACTTTGGGAGGCCAAGGCAGGCAGAACATTTGAGGTCAGGAGTTCAAAACCAGCCTGGCCAACATAGTGAAACCCTGTCCCTCGTAAACACACACACATACACACACACACACACAGAGAACCAGGCATGGTGGCGGGTGCCTGTAATCCCAGCTACTCATGAGACTAAGGCAGGATAATTGCTTGAACCTGGGAGGTAGACGTTGCAGCAAGCTGAGATTGCACCACTGCACCCTAGCCTGGCTAACAGAGTGAGGCTTCATCTAAAAAAATATGTAATTTCTATTTTTAAAAAATGGCTTCACATAAAAACAATATCCAACTCGACTGAAAAATGTTTTCATGGTAGTGCTAGAATATATGCTCCAAAACAAGAAAGATTGAACTGTCTTAATCACTATCGTATCCCTCACTTAGTATAGGGCCTTGGTATGAAGTAGGTGTTGAATATTTAATATATTTCATTTCTTACATTAACCCAACAATGTAAACATACTTACCCCCATGTAAAGGTAAGGAAACTGAAGTAAAATGTTATTTATCTTGAAAGTGGGAGAAGAGGTATAACTTTTGACTCCCATCAGTGTTTTGATCGGCATAATCAACCTTCAAACATAAGAGCATTTTTAGAATTTTTTGACCTATAATTTCAAATTTTTAGTTTTTAAGAAATCAAATTTCATTACAATAATCATACAAATGATACAAAACTAAAGCAATATACAAAATTTAATACTATAAAACATCTCAAAAACACATCATTTAAATATCATCCTGTTACCAGAAAAATATACCTTTTAAAAACTATTCAACCTCACTTCATCTACCCTGAAATGTCATTTTAGTAATAATAGCCAAGTTCTGGTTTACTTAAGTGTTTCCTAAGGTACTATATAAATTTCATACCACCCAATTTTTTTATTAAACACCTTCTATCCAATTACTTCATTAACAGATGCTACGACAGAAAGGCACAAAAGAAGTAAAGAACACAACCATATGTCTCAAAAACTTTAAAATCTACTTTGAATAAGACATGTATACATGAAACAGCAGCAAACTGCTCCAAAGCAACATATAAAGAGGAAGGAGCCAAAAATGGCTGAGTATCTCAAATGAAAATGCTAGGCATTTCCACATGCGTTACCTCTGTTAGTTCTGAAAACTCTGTAAGTAGATATTGCCATTTTCATTTTGGAGAAGAAAACTGAAATTCAGAGAGGTTAAATAATTTCCCAAAATAAAGGGCAAATAAGGGTCTGAAATCCAAGTCTAACTGACTCCAAAGTTCTTTCCTTTTTAAACTACACCATGCAGCCTCCCATATGCAAATGATTACAGGGTATAGACATTTATAAACACTGTAAGGAAAAGAAAGGCATCATTGAAGAGAATTCCAAGGAAAGATTTTATTGACAAAGTGAGTCCTGAGCTGTCTGAAACCTAACTATAAGACTGATAATAGTAAAAAGATTAATGTCACAAAAATTTTACTAAATATTTTCCTTCTTTGATCATTCTTCTATTTCTTATTCTCCTGCATGTTTATGTGTAGCCTACCCCCTCTACAATCATTCCCATTATAAAGATATAAAAAAGTTAACTAGGTCTAATACCCTATATTTCTCTTTCCTGCTGGTCAGAAGGCTAAAAGACAGAAATATATATTGCCATGAGAGCCTTGAAGTGATCTTAAAGAGTGATTTCTTCATTTTAGTGGTAAGAAAACCTGAGAGAGGGTTATATAATATACTTAAGGTTATAAAACTTTACTAACCAGAATAGTATGAGAACATTGTTTTTTCAGTGTTCTTTCTATGATCCAGTGCTCCTTAATTTTTTTGCCAAAGAGCCAGTAACCGAAGAATGATGAGATCTGGAGCTCACTTGAAATATATGGGTTCACTTGAAATTTCTTTGAAGTTTCTGATTTCATCTTAAAACCTCACATGAATTCTAAACTTTTTGCCCAATTTACTCATGCTTACCTTAATATTAAAGTTATTTAAATTAATACCATCAAGTAAAGTTGGTACTTAAAAATTTTTGTTTGTTCCCACAGCTTAGATTCTAAACCTTATGATATCCATTGACACAAGGTAATGTACTCCAGTTTGAGAAGTATGCCCCAAATTATGGTGACAACTCTTTCACCATATACTTGCTCCTTTATTTTTCAAATTTAGAATTCTTTTTAAAGCATGGTAAATTTAATCATACTCTCTATAAATGTATAAATACTGACAAAGCTACTGTTAAAGTTGCTGAGGCTGTTCAAACACAAAATTTTCAAGCTCTACTTAGTTAAAATTAATTGACTACATACAATTTAGTTTATAAATTCACTAAAGAACCTGGATAGAACTTCTACTTAGCAATACTTCACTAGACATTTCCTTCGAGAGGTCACTCAAAAGCATTTTTTAATGAAAGATAATATGCTATTCCTATTGACTACAGTCCCAATTACTTCTAAGCAGGTTAAACAATCTTTTCTTCTTCCTTGGTATTTATCTTCTCAGCCCAGATGCGAAGGAAGAAATCCTTTGTGGTTTCATTACTTTCTTTTTTTTTTTTGAACATTTCAAATTCCAAATACACTTCATTGTTCTTCAATCCTATTTACAAAACAGAGTAATAGATTTTATCTATTTCACAGACTGTTTTTAAAAACATCATGTTCAACTTAGCCAGGAATCTATCACCAGTAAGAGTAAAAACAGACTCTCATTTATCACTTTCTCCCTAAAAACACACTGTTGATTTTCTACTATATGCCTGTTTGAAGCCAAATAGTCATATGTGTTTATAAAATATTTAAAACTATTACTGTATAGCAACTAATATCACTAATATGGCAATGACAGTATTAAGTATATTCACTTTGAAGTTAGTCATGTGTTTTTAATATAGTTAAAATTCTTACTGTGTAGCAACTAACACTTTATCAAGTCTTTGACCAATGATGATAGTACTAAGTATATTCATTAGAAATTGGCCGGGCACGGTGGCTCAAGCCTGTAATCCCAGCACTTTGGGAGGCCGAGGCGGGTGGATTACGAGGTCAAGAGATCGAGACCATCCTGGTCAACATGGTGAAACCCCGTCTCTACTAAAAATACAAAAAATTAGCCGGGCATGGTGGCGCATGCCTGTAATCCCAGCTACTCAGGAGGCGGAGGCAGGAGAATTGCCTGAACCCAGGAGGCGGAGGTTGCGGTGAGCCGAGATCGCGCCATTGCACTCCAGCCTGGGTAACAAGAGCGAAACTTCATCTCAAAAAAAAAGGAAATTAATTTAACATTTTCCTACTTTGACAAAACATTTAATTCTCTAATACATTGCTTCCAACAAAAAATTCACAAAAGAACAATCTAGATCAACAAATAGGCTTCCTTTCAACAATCATATAGATCAATATTGAAAACAACAGGTAAGTTTGCCAGAACACAGAATTCTACTTAGCAGGGTGTAATATAATTTGCCTACTTAATGATATCTATTCTCAAAACAGATACAATATGTATATATCCTTATCCATAAATGGGCTTTTCAGAAAATAATATTGACACATAATACACAAGAATAGGTTTTAAGAATGTAAAAAAGTAAATGCATAACAATTTCAGAGTTATAAGAATAGCATCTGCTTGGCTTAGAACTTGCTTTTTTGAATAACATCATTTATGAATAACTGAAATACTCCCTACGTGTTACTGTAATATTTTTGGTGTTCTAATTTACAATTAGTCTTTTACCTAATCTCTAGTACCTAGTCTTATATTTGTTCCAGTATCTCTTACTGATTTCAAATCAACAGGTTAGTGCAATTAAAATGTATATAACTATAGCAAAAATATGATTTTTAAAAATGCCCTTTCCCAAAACTTTGTATCTTTTTCTCATTCATGCCACTATTCATGACAATTTAGGTAATGGATTATCATCTTTAGCTAAGTAACTTGGCATCAAACATTAGCTGTAGCTAACTAATAAGATATTAAGTAGCCGATGGAATAGATTCTATATTATATGCATATATGTAGTCATTATTTTCCTAGTAATGTTTCTGCAGAGCTTTTACAGTGGTAAAACTAGTATGCTGCTTTGATAAACAGCTTCTTTCAAAATAGAAAAAACTATGTGAAGAGTGACACATTCAAAATACTGACTAAGTATAGGCCGGGCACAGTCACTCACTCCTGCAATCCCAGCACTTTGGGAAGCCTAGGTGGGTGGATCATGAGTTCGGGAGTTCAAGACCAGCCTGGCCGATACAGTGAAACCCCGTCTCTACTAAAAAAACACAAAAAGCTGGGTGTGGTGCTATGCACCTATAGTCCCAGCTACCTGGGAGGCCGTGGCAGGAGAATCACTTGAACCTGGGAGGCGGAGGTTGCAGTGAGCCGAGACTGCCCCACTGCACTCCAGCCTGGGCAACAGAGTGAGACTCCATCCCCCAAAAGAAAAAAATTAATTCTACATCTCCCCTACATCTTGTTTCTAATTTTAAAGTAGCAGATACTTGTTTATTTGCTTCATGTTATTCATTAAGCACATTACCTTTAGTCTCTGCTATAAATAGTAATAGAAGTACAGAACATTAGACACACAAATATTTCTTTTTTATTTATTTATTTATTGCATTTTAGGTTTTGGGGTACATGTGAAGAACATGCAAGATAATTGCACAGTTACACACATGGCAGTGTGATTTGCTGCCTTCCTCCCCTTCACCTGTATCTGGCATTTCTCCCCATGCTATCTCTCCCCAACTCCCCACCCGCACTGTCCCTCCCCTATTCCCCCCAACAGACCCGAGTGTTTAGTGCTGCCCTCCCTGTGTCCATGTGTTCTCATTGTTCAGCACCCGCCTATGAGTGAGAACATGCAGTATTTCATTTTCTGTTCTTGGACACACAAATATTTCAAAGTAGACCTCAGGTCACCAAACACCATGTAACTTTCATTTCTGTCAAGACAACATAAGACAGTTTCAAACAAAGATATTTTTCTTAGAGATGGAAAATAATATTCAACATAAAATGTTTCCATATACAGCCTATTTTATATACATAAAGGTTCTCATTTTCCTGATTTAAAAAATTAGTTTAGGGCCGGGCGCGGTGGCTAAAGCCTGTAATCCCAGCACTTTGGGAGGCCGAGGCGGGTGGATCACGAGGTCAAGAGATCAAGACCATCCTGCTCAACATGGTGAAACCCCATCTCTACTAAAAATACAAAAAAATTAGCTAGGCATGGTGGCACGCGCCTGTAGTCCCAGCTACTCAGGAGGCTGAGGCAAGAGAATTGCTTAAACCCAGGAGGCCGAGGTTGTGGTGAGCCAAGATCGCGCCATTGCACTCCAGCCTGGGTAACAAGAGCGAAACTCCGTCTCAGGGAAAAAAAAAAAATTAAGTAGAATATCCATGTTACATTAATTATCATAATCTCAGTTTCAAGTACTTAATTCAAAAGAATTAGCTGGGCGTGGTGGTGCATGACTGTAGTCCCAGCTGCTTGGGAGGCTGAGGCAGCAGAATTTCTTGAACCCAGGAGGCAGAGACTGCAGAGAGCCGAGATTGAAACACTGCACTACAGCCTTGGTGACTGTGTAAGACTCCCTCTCAAAAAAAAAAAATCAGGCCAGGTGCGGTGGCTCAAGCCTGTAATCCCAGCACTTTGGGAGGCCGAGGCAGGTGGATCACAAGGGCAAGAAATCAAGACCATCCAGGTCAACATGGTGAAACCCCGTCTCTACTAAATATATAAGAAAAATTAGCTGGGCCTGGTGGCGCGTGCCTGAAATCCCAGCTACTCGGGAGGCTGAGGCAGGAGAATTGCCTGAACCCAGGAGGCGGAGGTTGCGGTGAGCTGAGATCACGCCATTGCACTCCATCCTGGGTAACAAGAGCGAAACTTGTCTCCAAAAAAAAAAAAAAAAAAAATTCAAAATAATGAAGAAAAAAAAATGCTTCTGCTAAATATTTCCCTTTCTACCACTATTCTTTCATAAACCTAATATAGTTAATTCATTTGATAGGAGGTCTCAAGAGACTGTGGTAAATTTGGCAAATTCATAACTGAAATAAAGATAACAAAAACATCTAAAGGATGAAAAGTTTCAAGGTAACAATATCATCTAAAGGATGAAGTTTCAAAGTACAAGTAATTTTCAACAGGTAATAAAAAATGTCACAAAGAAGTCAATTAAAAACTTTAGAAATGACAATATGATTTCACAAAATACTAAGTAACATATTGTAAAAATGTGTGTGTGGGTAGATCACACTTTCCACTATCTTTGTAAAATAGATGTAGATAAAATACTTCAAAGTAGTATTATGAAGCATGCCAAGGAGATTTTTTAAAAGAGGCCCTCCACCTTTTAAGTGAGTCACAAATTATAATTTATGAAAACTACAATTCAACACAACTTTCTTTAGTATGAAATCACAGTACATGAGTTCAGTAAAGAATAATTCTACATGGTAAAACCACAACACTTGAAGTTCTAAAATACACAAAATTGTATAATACAGCTTCATTTTTGTAAGTTCTTTCCCCCAAATCATATGGTATATCAGGCAAGACCACAGAAATTAAGCTGTTGATAATGAAACCCACTAGTTACAGACTGAGGAAAATCAGTGTTCTTTCCTCTCCATCATAGTAGACAATATCTGTATCAACAACTTTTGAAGAAAAAGCCTGAGTGATTTCTGACTTCAAATATTCATGTTATCACCAAAACCTATTTTCCGCTATTAGCACTTTTTCCAAAACTGCAGCTGCCTTTTCATTCCTTCAGCTACAACCTTGTTCCTGGCCCTAGACTTTTCCCCCTAGACCACTATACCTCATTCTCACAAGACAGCTTCCCCTGATTGTCTTTAATTCCACTGTCAATGTTAATTATTATCTTCTCCCTGACATTTTACCTATGCCACCTACCTATTCCACTTGAGCTTTTCAAGGCCTTTACATTGCATTTTTATTCTGCTCAGGAGCCTCATCATCAACTACATATTTATTTATAAGATGGATGCTGGCTTTCAACTCCCCTTAAAATTGCTAGTTTTTTCTTGACTCTAATTAATGTACTGAATTCTACCTTCAGGTAGTCATATTTGCCCCCAATCCATCTGAATATGGAATTTCTTTTGCCCCAAACTCATAGGTAACGTATTTAGAAAATTTTTATACAATAATTACATACAATGTTTCTTCACTTGTTTGCATATCAGTGTTATCTATATTAGACCATAAGGATACCAGATAAGGGCTGCATCTTTCAAAGCAGTCTGTACAACACCTATCTGCTATGCCACTTTTACGAAGGTAAGATGATTCATTAAATGAAACTAATATTTAATGTGAAAGGTTAAGTTAAAAATGCTCATTTAAAACATATTTCTACGGTTTAACTTTTAAACATCTATGGCCTTTTTTATTTCTACAGACAGCTGACATATTTTGGTTTCTCACTACTCTAATAATTGTCAAAAAAAAAAAAAAGGCTAGAACTTAAAGTGCAAGTTGAGAGTAGATAAAGAATATATTCTTTCACATCCCGCCATCAGATTATTCAAAAAATTGGCAATATCAGCTCCAATAATTCTAAAATACAACTGAATCTTCACATAACCAGTTTCAGAACCAAAAGAAGAGAACAGCGCACCTTCGGATTTGGGGGTTCCCTTTTCTGCAACTGGTTTAGACTACTTTCTCTATCTCAGGGTCTTTTGATTAGGAAAATTCAATTAATCGCCATCGACATACCTAAAGAATACCAGGGAAAGGCAATCCTTTACTTAAAAAAGAGAAAACGGGCCATTGGATATCTCCTTTTCATAAAATTCAGCAGCAAAATTAAGCTTTTCACTCAGTATCTATCGGCAGTCTCGGACATTATTTTTCTGCCTAATAATAAAAGCACGTCTTATTCAATTTAGTCCCTTCTCCAGCACCGTCTCAACCTGTCAGAATTTGACAGTTAAAAAAAAATTAAAAAAAGAAGTAAGGGAAACACTAGGATTCCCGTCCACATTGCTTCTTTTTCCGAAATCACATCACTGAGTCTTGGATTTCCTTCACTCCACAGTAAGCCCTCAGATTCCAAATATAGTTCTTTAACCTCTGCCTCGCCACTCAATTACACATAAACCTTGCCAACAACAGAATCACAGCTGAAACCCCTACAAATCGGCTCGCTGTTCATCTTGGAAGTCATGCCCTGCAGCAACTGCCGATCGCCGAAGTGACGGATATTAACCAAATTCAGTGCAAGAGAATCAGACATGCAGAGCACACACGGCTTCTGCGAGGGAGGGAAACGCGACCCGGGAAAGGTGCGCTCCTTTAGCAGCCCCGGGACACTCAACGGGGTGGGGGTTCCCAGAAGGGAGGGGGAGAGAAGCCCGAGTAGGGGAATCCTTCCCTCTCAAGTAAAAAGAGCTGGATCCCCCGGCCACAGGCTGCAGCCAGTCTTCGTCAAAGAAACGACGAGGCAGACAGAGGGCCCCTTTGCTCGGAAAGACAGAATGCAGACACTTTCCGACGTCCGGACGCAAGCTGATTCCCAAACCCCCGAGGGAGGCAAAGGGTGCCCAAGGGTGGCTGAGGGGATGCCCGACCCACGAGGGACAACCCGAGGAGGAGCAGTTTCATCTGATTAACACCTGAGTCGCGTTCGGGCAAGCACAGCTAGTGGTGTGGGGCCGGCCGGGTGGGGGGAAGGGGAGGAAGGAGGTGGAGATAGGATTCCCCCCTCTGCCAAAAGAGCATTAGAGGAGGAGGCGCCCCGGCCAGCCGAGAGCGGCGTGCTTCAGACTGCGGAGCCGGGATCCCGCCGCCTGCACCGGGAGCGCGGAGCCCCGCAGCGCCCTCTGCACCGGCCCCTCGGTCTCCGGGGGCCAGGGACTTCGTCTGCGAAGGCGCTGGGGCCTGACATCCCACGGAGTCGACCTAGGCTCCTAGGCGGCTAGGAGGAGGACCCGCGGAAACACCCACAATCTCCGGCAGCTCTCAGCGGTTGTAAAATGCACCCCCGCGGTTCCCTTCTTCAGCCTTCACTCCTCCCGAGGCCGCAGAGAAGGGCCACCACAGGCGAAAAGCCTACGGCAAGTCAGGGACAGCAGCCTCAGCGTTCCCGAACCACCTCCCCTGGTTACCTGTGAGGACTCCGACACGGATTTGATGGTCGTGGTTAGTGAGGATCATTCCCTCGGTCGCCATGTTTCCCAGCGCAGTCACCGCACTGACAGAAGCCGGGAGAAACCGGAGCCCGGAGCGCGCGGGCCGGGAGCGCGCTCGCCTAAGAGAGCGCGAGGAGAGCGGGGAAGGAGGGGGAGGCCGCAGAGTGCTTGGTGGCCTGAGTAGGGGAGAGGCCGCACCGAGAGTGCGCGGGTCCGCGGGAGGGGCGGAGTCAAGACACGCGACCCCCAGTCCAGCGAGAAAGAGGCAAGTTGGGAATCAGACGCACGGTGGCCTGACGGGGAGAGCGCGCGGAGGCGGCGGAACGAGGCAGGAGAGAGTCGAGCCGTTCTGCGGAGCGCGAGACCCGAGGCAGCTAGATGGCAGGACAGAGGAAAGGAGAGCACACGCTCTGGAGGTTGCGGGGGCGGACTCGGGGACAGGGGCGGAGCTACACCCCGAGGCGTGGAACTCGTGGAGAGTGAAGGGAGGAGCGAGACCTCGGGTGCTGAGTACTGGGAGCGGGAAGGAGCCGGCCCAGCCTGAGTAGGACCACGGACCGCTAATGGGCGCGCGAGTAGCGCTGGATTGGCTGAGTGAACGCGGAGCGGGTGCGCGCGAGGCACGGACGTAACCTCGGCCGGGCCCCAGACAAAAGCAATCCCCTGCCGAGCCTGGCGCCCGGTCGGTTGTCTGCGCCTTGGGCTGGCTCTCGCCGCGGGGCAGGCCTTCTAAGAGCGGACTGCGGGGGGAGCGAGGCTGGCTCAGCACTCCGAGTCTCCTCTTGAAGCCCTCGGGAGCGGCCGGCTGCCCCACTGAAGGCGCTGGGGAAGCTAGAGGTGGCTTAGAAAGCTGCATGGGTGGCAGAACGGCGGCTACTATGACAGCCCGCCGTGGGCGAAGAGGGAGGTATCCTGTCCCGCCAATTCTTAGCCGCTGGCTTCCTCAGTCGGCTCTCCTCGAAGGAGGATTTCCGCCTCACCTATGCTTTCGGATTCCATCTCCAGTCATTGCCTACAAGAGGATCCTCACAAGCGAAGCTTAGGAGTCTGAGGCAGGGCAGCTGGAGTGGAGTTACCTGGCTTTTCTTCCTCCTGCTGTCCCACGGTTTGGTGGCCTTAAGCCCCCTCGTCACGAGCGCTGCTTTTAGATGAAAAGCATATATCTCCTTAGCAAACGAAAATACGTTCCACCTGAACCACAGTCCAGTGAGGCGGTGATTTTCATTTCAGTATTCGTGGAATGTGAGATTACCATGAAAATAGATTTTGTTGCCATTTATTTCCATGTGCCTTTCATAAAACATGTTTTTAATCACCTGTGGCTATTCTACGTTAGTTTCTTAGTGACTGTCTTTCTGGACCTTTCAAATTCTGAATTTTAAAAAGTTACATGCGTGTGTGTGTGCTTGTGTGCACACATGTATATATTTTTTCTTCTTAGCTGTAGTAAACCTGGAAGCATAAAAGTGAAAAGCAAAGTGAAGTATTAAAAAATGTGTAATGTCAGTGTTTATACAGAAATCTCAAAGTCACTTTGATGGTTGGTTATGAATTTTTTGTTTTTGTTTTTCTTAAGACGGAATCTCGCTCTGTCCCTAGGCTGGAGTACGGTGGCGCAATCTTGGCTCACTGAAACCTCCACCTACCCGGTTCAAGCGATTCTCCTGCTTCAGCCCCCGAAGTAGCTGGGATTACAGGCACGCACCACCACGCCAGGCTGATATTTTGTATTTTTAGTAGAGACAGGGGTTTCATCATGTTGACCTCATTGGTCTCGATCTCTTGACCTTGTGATCCATCCGCCTCAGCCTCCCAAAATGCTGGGATTACAGGCGTGAGCCACCACACTCGGACAGTGATGAGTTTTTTATTGTTCCATTGGGACATTACTCATCCTCTGAAGATTCATGTGCTTATGTATTTCATTTTAAATAATAGGGCCTACTCAAAGTACATGATGGATGGAATCGAAGTGAGTAAAATAAATTGATGGGGGTTTTTTTTCTTTCTTTTTTTTAGTATGTGTGTTGCTAGTATCTTTGACAGTGATTAAAAATGTTAAGCCAGGTCATGAACTCATTTCCCATCATTGTCACCTTAGATCCTGGTGGCCAACAGGTAGTTAACTAGTTTCAAATGGGAGATAAAGATAAGAAAGTATTTCCAAGGGAATTATTTCCTTTTTCTCAAACTAAACATGAAGAGCAAATAGTTGGTTATATTGTTATCTTTCTAACCTATCTTTTCTTTGTAATATACTCTAACGATTAGAAAATATCTTGCGCTTGGCCAGGCACGGTGGCTCGCACCTGTAATCCCAGCGGTTTGGGAGGCCGAGGCAGGCGAATCACGAGATCAGAAAATCGAGACCATCCTGGCCAATATGGTGAAACCCCATCTCTACTAAAATACAAGAAAATTAGCCAGGCGTGGTGGTGCACGCCTGGAGTTCCAGCTACTCGGAAGGCTGAGGCAGGAGAATTGCTTGAACCCAGGAGGTGGAGGTTGTAGTGAGCTGAGATTGCGCCACTGCACTCCAGCCTAGCGACAGACTGTGACACCGTGACTCCGAGACTCCGTCTCAAAAAAAAAAAAAAAAAAAGAAAAGAGAATATCTTGAGCTTTTAAAGAGATAAGGTCTAAATCTGCCCACTAACAGGTTGTGACCTTAAGCAAATTTGGGCCTTTTTTATGGTGGTAGACTAAGTAAGCACTCCTTTAATTAGAATATTCTATAATTATTCATGGAAGGAAACTGGCACTTCATTTCACAAGTCAATAATGGAGAAGAAGAGACTAACTTTGCATTCACAAAAGGGGTGATGGTTAAATTCATGAAAACTTAGGTGGGAAGAGTGGATATGAATTAAACATTCTAAAGCAGCAGTCCCCAACCTTTTTGGCACCAGAGACCTGTTTTGTGGAAGACAGTTTTTCCATGGATGGGGATGGGGAGGGGTGATAGTTTTAGGATGAAACTCTTCTAGAACACCCCAGATCATCAGATATTGATCCCACGCATCTGCAGTTCATGATAGGATTCAGGCTCCTATGACAATCTAATATGGTCACTGATCTGACAGGACGCAGAGCTCAGGTGGTAATGGTTGCTGGCTGTTGTGTGGCAGGGTTTCTAACAGGCTGCAGATGGGTACCTGTCTTTGGCCCAGGGTTTCGGGTCCCCTGTTCTAAAGTATATGGAGGTTTATTAATATTCATTATATTTTGCTAAGTATTAAAATTTCCAAAAAGTATTAGAACCAAATTATAATAGATGCATGTCTTTCAACAGTTTTTCTTAAGCATTCTCAAATTCAGCAACATTTTACAGACAAAACTTACACAGGAAAGACACAGTGACTTTACTGTCTAGAGTGACCTTTTACTGCTGGTTATTGAATGAATATTACAATATGTACACACCATTACTCTTGTTACAGTGTGATATTTCTTCAGAATTCATCCTGGAATCAAACGTTATGCCAAAGAAAAACTTCTGAAAGGTAGGAGAGAGTACCATTTTCCAAATATTGATAAATGTCTTAGGAAACATGGGACATGGGGTGTGATGGGGTTTGGGGTGGGAGTTTGTTTGTAAATAATTAGAAGTGCCCAGGAACAATGTATTCTTTCCATTCTTAGGGTTTTCAGCATGAAAACTGCAAGAATTTCTATTAACCCTTTGAGACAACATAAAAAATAGGTAAGCATCTGGCTTTCATTATGATTATGATGGAGTTGAAACTTTATATTTTAGTATAAAGGAAGTTAGTTTTTTTGTTTTTTGTTTGTTTTTTGAGACAGAATCTTGCTCTGTCAGCCAGGCTGGGATGCAGTAGCACAGTCTTGACTCACTGTAACCTCAGTCTCCTGGGCTCAAGCAATTCTCCTGTTCAGCCTCCTGAGTAGCTGGGATTATAGGCATGTGCTGCCATGCCCGGCTAATTTTTGTATTTTTAGCAGAAGCAGTGTTTCACCATGTTGGCCAGGCTGGTCTCGAACTCCTGACCTCAGCCTCCCAAAGTGCTGGGATTACAGGCTTGAGCCACCATGCCTAGCTTGAAGTTAGTTTTTTTTTTTTCCAGTACTGATATATTTACACTTAGCCTACCAGTTAACTGTTATTTTTTCTGTGGTTAATCACAATTTCAGTATAAGCAAGGCAAAATCTCATTCGGCTTTTCTGGGTCCAGACTCTCCTCCATGTACATACCTATGATAAAGTTTAATTTATATAGTAGTCACAGTAAGAGATTGACGGCAATAACTGATAATAAAATAGAACAGTTATAACAATGTTACGTAATAAGTTATGTTAATGTAACTTTATGTTTATGTAATAAAAGTTATATGATCTCTCTCTCTCTCTCTTTCTCTCTCTGTCTTAAAATATCTTATTGTACTGTACTCACCTATTTTCAGACCAGAATTAGTTACACCAGTCCTAGGAAAAAAAAAACACAGTGCCTGATTCAGCCAGTTTAAAGTTCATCTTGACCATAATAAAGCTTTCTTTGGGGAAAAAAATACATTAAAAGCAACGAAAGCTTTTAATGCTTTTAAAGTATACTATTTTTTAAATGGTAAAATACACATACATAAAATTTACCATTTTAACCATCTAAAAGTATACAATTCAGTAGCATGAAGTATACAGTAGTCCTCCCTTATCTGCAGTTTTGCTTTTCTTGGTTTCAGTTACTCTATCCCTGAAGTCCACAATTGGAAACACAGATATCTGATGACATATTTGGTTGCAAGCAACTGATTCTAGTTGAAGCCAAAAGAAATTCATTGGCTTATGCACCTAACAAGTCTGGACTTGTATAGCTTCAGGATTGGCTAGATTCAAGGTCTGAAACTGTGTCATCAAGATGCCACTTTCAGCTATGCTTTCTTCTTTGTTCACTTCATTCTCACCTTGACTCTTCCTACATGGCAACAAAGATGGCATTGGCTTCTCTAGGCTGTGTGTGTGTGTGTGTGTGTGTGTGTATACACACACAAATATATACACATATATTTTTTTAAGAGAGAGACAGGGTCTCTCTGTGTTGCCCAAGCTGGTATCAAACTCCTTGCCT